GGCAGGAGACAGACACACTCACACGCCCCCAAATCACTAATGGGGCCTCCCTCTGAAGGTGCTCCTGCTTCTCGAGTGGTGATTACTCAGTACCCTGTGTAATTATTTAATCAACCCAACTAAGTCCTCAGCGTGAGTGGAGCTGGGGCAGCTGACCAGACCCCCTCCCCCAACTCCTCAGGAGCATAATGAGCTGCAGAGAGGGAACGGGTGCCCCCAGCACTTCTCTCCTTTGTGCAAAGACTGGGCTGTGTGGGAGGGAAGGGTGGCCAGGAGGGAGGGGCCAGGTCACCTTGGGACTCCCTCACTGAGGACAGGGAAGGAATGGTCTTTTGAGACTTTGAGAAGCAGTCAAGGGACTTATAGAAACTCAGTGGCAGAACCAATCTCAGGCATGGCCTCCCTTCCTCACTCCTCTTTCTCCTCCTCTTCCTCCCTTCCCAGCCTCCTGTTTCGTAGGTACTAGGCATGCAGCAACACATTGTTATTGTCAAATGTGCAGACGACACACATAAAGCAAAAGCCTCCCTCTTCCCTGTCTTCCCCACCCACACTCCCCAGAGGCAACTGCAGCTGTCAGGCTGGAGACACTTCTAGACTTCTTCTGCACTTACACTCTTAGCTTTATGCCCTGGATGCCCTGCTTACCTAAACATCCCTCATGCCTTCTGGACCAGTGGTTCACATTTTATCCCTGGGGATGAGAAGCAATGTGTGGGGGACATTTTGATCCTTGTGCTGAGGAAGGACCACTCTTGGCACCCAGTGATGGAGGCCGGGATGCTGCTAAATACATTATGTGACATAGGCCAGCTCTCATGGCACAGTGAACCCTGCCCTAGTATCAGGCTGGGGCTGAGAAAGCTAGGTCTCGAAAGTTCTCTACTTGTTCCCCTCCCCAATTGTCAAACCGCCGTCATTATCACCACCACCACCTTGAGGGGCCTGGCAGGTTAACAGATACCCTTTTCATTCTCATTACTTCTGCCTCTTTTTTTGGACAATGTCCTGGTTTGTGTATCTCTTCCTATGGCTTTCGAATTGCATCCAGGTTGGGGAATGAATGGGAGGCCATGTGTGTTTCTGGTTGGCTATTGAGATTACTACATAGTTGCTGGGGTAAGTTATTGGTTGAGTGATTTCCCAAGTCCTCATAAAATGCTTCTATTTTAAATACCACCCACTTAAATCCAATTTTATTAGCTCTTGCATTGTGTTCTTATACAAGCAGCCGTCTGGCTTTCCCTACCCAAAATCTAAGGTTTTAAGGAAGATGCCAACTTGTTTTAATGCTACCCTACTATGCCTTCAGGAGGGCTAGAGGGAATCTGACGATCATAGGGTGTATTTGGTCCAGCCACACCGACCACCACCATGGGCCCTGAAAGCAGCATTTGACTGGTAATGGGGAGAGGTGGAGAGGCGGCTTGTGTCTCCCTGTCTCCAGCCCTTGTATGTGGGTGGTGCTGGTAAGAGGGACTGTCTGGGAGCTTCACTTAACAGATACCTCTCATTGAGGCCCTGCGGAATGACATCCTCTCCCAGTCCTCACTTGGAAGTCCCTTGGTTTAGCAGGGGACCAAGTGCAGCAGAAGGAGGCATGGCTATTGAGGACAGATCATCAGAACACACTACCAGATCATATTTCTTCAGAGATGAGAAAAGACTGGACTACATAGCCATCCATCTTCCTCTTCTTCCCCTCTCCACTCTCTCTAGAGCCTTGGCACTCAGATCTGAGAGCTTGTTCTTGCTTGTGTGTAAGCGGTGAGGCTTGAATGCAAGGTGGCAGACCTGGCCAGGGCAGCCCAGAGGGCTACACTGGACCCTACCACCCCGCATTGTCCAAACTTGGAACCAGAGGCCACACAAGTGTAATTAGTTAATCAATCATCCTGAGTGATAAACAGGATGATAGATGCAGGTCTCACTTGATCACTTTTATATTAAGGAGAAATAAATCAACCCCGCATTGTTGCTATAAACCTTTCAAACTGGTCAGATCCTGGCTGGCGGAAGCTGATTAACATGGCCACATGGAGGGACCGTTTGTAGCTGATCATTGAGATCAATCCATCCCTGTCACTTTCCCTCTGTGGAGGAGGTGGCAGAAGCCAGGTGCTGTCCCACCATGCATCACTTCCCTGCCCTTCTGATGCATGAGTGGAGCGGTCTGAGCTTTGGTGTCAGAGAGCTGTGCCAAGAACAAGCCAACTGTGTGACCCCAGGAGTCTTGGGTCCCTCTCTGAGCAGTAGCTTTCTATTTGTTAACCAAGGGGCTAGAGAGCTGGCTCAGCGGTTAAAAGCACTGGCTACTCTTCCAGAGGAATTTAATTCTTAGCACCCACATGGCAGGCAGCTCACAACTGTGTTTAACTACTGTTCCAGGGGAACTAATGCCCTCTTCTGGCCACTGCAGGAATTGCATGCATGAGGTGCACAGATGTACGTGTAGGCAGAACACCCATACATGAGAAATATAAATACATCATAAAAAAGAAAAAGGTATGTCCTCCTCAGATGGTTGTTCTGAGTATCTTGGTCCCAAACTTCTTGATTTCAGGACCCCTTTATGTACCTAAAAATTGCTGAGCTCTCTTCAAAACCTTTATTCATGCGATTTATATTTACCGGCATTTACTACATTAGAAATTAAAGCAGAAAATTTTAAATCTACTCATTCATTTAAAATAATAGTCACAAATCTTAAAGTAATATAGACAATGTTTCCAATATAAGCAGAGATTAGGGGGTGGGACGGTGGCTCAGTTGGTATAACACTTGCTGTGCAAACATGAGGATCTGGGTTCAGATCCCTAACACCTGCATAAAACAACAAACAAACAAAATGGGTGTGTCAGGCTGTACCTATATTCCCAGCACCAAGGAGGCTGAGACAGGAGGATCCCTGGGGCTAGTCTGGCTGAATTAGTGAGCTCCAGGTTCGATGAGAGGCCTTGTCTCAAAAAGAGAAGGTGGGGGAGTGATTAAGGAAGATACTAAACATCAATCCTTGGCGTGTGCACATACATACATGTATACCTGCACACATGCATGCATACACACACACATGCACACACACACACACACACACACAGAGAAAGAGAGAGAGAGAGAGAGAGAGAGAGAGAGAGAGAGAGAGAGAGAGAGAGAAAGAGAGAGAGAGATTTTACATTTCTGACTGAATGCACAGTTAGATTCTTGTATTTGCTTCTGGGTTCATTGTGGTGAGTTGTTATAGGTCCAAAGTATGGAGAAAACCCAGGTAGAAAAAGGGTGTGTGTCAGCTGGGCAGGGGTGGCACATGCCTTTAATCCCAGCATTTGGGAGGCAGCGGCAGGTGGATCTCTGTGAATTTGAGGCCAGCCTGGTCTACAGAGTGAATTCCAGAACTGGTCCCCAAACTGCAGAGAAACTCTGTCTCAAAAAAACTGTCTCGATTTGGGGGGAATCTCACTATGTTGTTCAGGTTGTCCTTGAACTCCTTGTCTCTGGAGCCTTTGTTTGTCATACTGTGTAGGCACTCTGGCAGGCAGCCTCTGGAAAACCTCCCCCATAGACTCATGAAAGAATAAGAATAAAAGGTAAGTAATGAGTTGGGCTCCAATCGCAGCACTAACAACAGTAGCTTTGACCTTGTAGTCTTAGATAAAGGATGCATGCTTCTGAGAATGGCTGAGCTGAAGCCATAGGTAGAAGGAAACGACATAGGGGGATCGCTTGCAGGAGCTGGTCCCAGTCAGGCCTCTGTCATGAGCTGACCGCTGAAGTCTGTGTTCCCTCTATGGAGGGGTGCTGAATGGTCTGCATGACCGCCACCCTGTCTCCTGTCAACTCCTCTACCAGCACTGTCCTGGCACTGACTGATGATACTATATCACAAACTCCCTTATCTCCCAATGTCTGGATGGTCTAACCAATGAAATATCCCTGCTGGGAACTAAAAGTGGTAGGGGTTTGGGGACAGGAGCCATAGCTGCTGTGCCGTTTGTCCTCTGGGTCTTAGTGAAACTCCTTATCTTGTCCTTTCTAGCCCTGATGTGGGAGGGGCCTCTCACTATTGCTCTTCTGGGGGTGTAACACCTTCTTGCTTGTTTTTTGGTATCCTACTCACTTAAAAGAATTAAACTCTCCTTGATTGGCACCTGCTTCTTGTGGGAAGGGGGACATATGGGACACTTTGGTAATAAACACCACAACTGAAGTTGCCCGAGAGATGAGTATTGCCAAGACTCTGATGCCCAGGGTTAACATTTGCAGTCTGATCTCTTGCCTATTGCCCGCAAGAATCCATTCTACCTGCTTCTTCAAACGTGGGTTATTGGGATCCAAGCCACATTGGCCTTTCCCTGCTCTCCAGGGTCTTGTTCTTCAAATGAGTTCTCCTGCCACAGGGACTTTTTGCACATGCTGATTTAGAAGCTGATAACACTTCCCTTAATGAGCACTTTCCCCTCCTCTGCATGGCAGTTTGTGCCTGCATGGTGTTTCTGCTCTTTGCGCTCCCTGGCTAGGTAGAGTCCCACTATTCTAGGCCATCAGAGCACTGCCCACTCAGGTGCTTCTTACCCCTACAGTTTTACACTTGTATGCATTAACAGACACTTCAGTGGAGTTTGCCACACACCAGGCACTGGGCCAAGTGTTTGTAAATATCAAATCATCTAGTTCTGCATATAACCATGAGATAAATACTGTTAGAACTCCCATTCTACAAATGAGGAAACTGAGACACCCCAAGGTTGAGCGACCTAGTCAAGGTCACCATGCTGTGAAGGACCAGGAAGCCTGGCTCTCTTATCTCCCCTTATTCTCACTGCATCAATTTATTTGATTAAACCAGTTTCCCCAACCAGGGTGTAAACCTGCAAAGCTTGCTATGCTATTTTGTATCCTCAGGGTCAGGCTCAGTGTCTGGCACACACTGGGTGCTTCACAAATATTTGTGGAATGAACAAGTGACAACGGCCGTAAATTGCCATATTGCCTTTCACTTGCAGGGTCCCAGGGCTCTCTACAGCCTGCTCTCTTCCTGGAGTGAGTTGCCTGGGGAACTTCCTGTAGATATGCAGCCCCTGCTCTTCCAAACCCTGGAGCCTTGGGCATCTCCCTTGCCATGGATGCCTGTAGCAGCTGCTTCTCCTTTGGTGGCAGAAGGAGAGTTCCCACTTCCACTCCACACTGCTCTGAAGCCATCCCTGAACGAGTGACCTGCTAAGAGTGCAGTTTTCTCTCCCTCTCTCCCGGACTTTGATTTGATCAGGCCAAATCTGAAATGATGTGTGAAAGTAATGATATTTGGTAATTAAATCTCTGGTGACGGCCACTGCAATTTGTGCTACATGCATTGTTCATAAGGAAAAAAACCCCGCATCAATTCATTTTCTGACCGGCTACTCCAGGGACTGGCAATTAGGGGCCGCTCATCTCTCTAGTCGCCTCGCATATTAAAGAGCTACTGAAACGCAAAGAGAATTTGGGAGTTTTTTTTTTCCTTCCCAACCTTCTAATAATGTTAGCTTAATTAGGGAGGCTCAGTGATAAAGGGGCAGTTTGGGATGATTTGAGCAGACTGTGCTGGAAGGGAGAGAATGAGCTAACAGAGGAAGGAAGGTGTGGGGTGAGATTTGGGGTGGCCCACCCTGGGACACTTGGTGGTGGCAGGGACAAAGGGCACTGGGAAGCCCAGCTAAGCCCTGCTTCCTTTCCACCCTGCTGAGTTCTTTTTCTTTTCATCTTTCCTTCCTTCTTTCATTCCTCCCTCCACCTTCTTCTCCTCCTTCCCCATCTTCTCCACCCCCATTTTCTATGATTGAGCTTTGGAATGTTCCTTCTTCACTTGTCCCTCAAAGGATGGCCCAGTTTCTTCAAGCATCTTCCCTTATCCTGATTGGAACTCCCCACGCCCAGTGTCCCTCAGCAAGTATAGCCTGTGAACCAGGATTCTCTCCAGATCCAGTAGTAGGTTCTATGGGTTTCCATGAACACACCACAGCCTGGATTGGCTTCGTAGCATCATAGGGAGCAGTGCCACTGCCCTCCAAGTGCTCTGTGTTCTACCTGTCCCCTCTTTCTTCCTACTGGCTGCTGACAAACACTGGTCTTCAACTGGAATGTGGTATAGTTGGAGTCAGGCTGTAAGGAGCCCTTCCTTCCCTTCCTCCCTTCCTCCTTCTCTCCCTCTTCCCTCCCTCCCTTCTTCCCTCCCTCCCTCCCTCCCTCCCTCCCTCCCTCCCTCCTTTCTTTCTTTCTTTCTTTCTTTCTTTCTTTCTTTCTTTCTTTCTTTCTTTCTTTCTTTCTTTTGTTTTTGTTTGTTCAAGAGAGGGTTTCTCTGTGTAACTACCCTGGTTGTCCTGGAACTTGCTTTGTATACCAGGCTGGCCTCAAATTCACAGAGATCTGCCTGCCTCTGCCTCCCAAGTACTGGACTCAAAGGCATGAGCCACCACCACTCAACTGAAGGAGCCTTTTCAGATAGGCATTGTGCTTCTGTCTGCATACATTCAGCAAGCCCCTAACCCTCATCCACCACCCACGAGGATGACTCACAAAGTGGCATGGATGCAGCTGGTCCTGGTTAGAAAAATAGGACCGTTAGCAATGGTTGGATCTTAAGAGAATCTCAGGGCAAAACAACCTGGAGGCGACTCAGCCAGCATCACTGGGCTTCAGAGTCTTCCAGACAAGGAGTTGCTCTAGTGCCTCCACTCACCTCTCCAGGGAGTGTAGTGCAGGAGAAATGCACTCGGAGATCAGGCACCCTGCCCAAACCCCACAGAGGCAGAGGCAGCACTGATCAGGCCTACCTGATGCTAGGCTAGCGGGGAATATTCTCCAGCCACTTTGACTAGAGCAAAGCTGTGAGCTAGCACATGCAGCCATACTTGAGGTATGGCTAGAGGACTCGAGACACTGACAATTTAGTTGTATTTGGTTTTAATGGCTGCAATCTCATTTTATTTTGTGAAGGTGTCTGGAAGGCACACCACTGACTGACATGTCCAGACTGTTCATACTGCTTATCATTCTCACTCTCTACATGAATAAGAAGAGTCACACCTAAAACGTTCATTGCATTCAGTTTTCACATTTCTTTTTTATTTATTAGATTCATTCATTTTAGTTTGTGTGCGACTGTTTTGCCTACATGTATGGATGTATACTACATACATTCTTGGTGCCAGCAGCAGTAAGAAAAGGAGTTGCAGATGTTTGTGAACCACTATTTGGGTGCTGGGAACTGAACCTGGGTCCTCTGCAAGAACAGCAAGTGCTCTTAGCCATTAGGCCATTTCTCCAGCCCTGAATATTCTTATTTCTATAAATCTTACTTGAGAGTAAAATTAGTATAACATATTTCATGCAGTGTTTCAGCAGTTATTTTCTAAAACTATGACATCTATATATCCATTAGATACTTTTATATTATAGTTTATCTTTTAAAATGTTGTCTCATTAAAATGATGTTACCCAGCCAGGTTTTGAACTCTTGGACTCAAGCTGAGCCTCTGGAAGAGCAGGGACTACACATGCATGGGCTTTGCCTAGCTTTAAAGTGTAAATTTTAGTAGGACCAGTAGCTAGTGGCTACTGTACTAGACAGTATGCCAGAAGCTTGGAGAGTTTATGGCAGTCACCTCCCATTCCTGCTGTCAGCCCATAGCCCTGTGGTCTGCTTACATCTCATTTCCCTGGGAGGGCTGGCAAAGGGGTAGGCATTCTGTTCTCACCCTTTGCCACACTCATGGCCTGTTGTCTTTTACTAGTATTTGTGGAATCAACCCTTGTGCTATGATCTTAACTCCTAGGATGTCAACACTCTTCTCAGGATTCCTGCGCAGGGGCTCCCATTTCACAGTAGAAAAAGGAGGCTCACTAAAGCTGATAGTATTTAAATCCCACAGCTGGAGAACACATGGCCTAGGTAACTCGACTTCAAATCCTTGCACGGTGCACAGGGTCAGGCTTAGGTGGGTCTCCAAGGCTCTGTGGTCCTGTCTGTCTCTACACACATGAATTCAAATGCAAGTCTCTATTACAAGGCAAAGGCAGTGCAGGCAAGGGAGGGAAGAAATGGGGGTGGGGATTAATTGAGGGGTGTTATTAGTTTCTACTGGACTCAGTGTCCCAGGACAGTGTGAGCCTGCATGGATTCAGGCGCTGGAGAACTGGGATGTTCAGTTACCACTCACTGGAGCAGTGTCACTGGCTTGCCACTGAGGTGGACAAAATACATTCTGTGGACAAAGAAAGCTCCCAGGCAAGAAAATGGCAGCTGGCAGCAGCCCTCCCCCAAGAGTGCTGGAGAAATCCCTTACACTTGGCTGAGCTGCTGGAGTCACTGGGAGCCAGGTTTCTCAGGAGGTAGTTTTCTTCCGCTGGTTCCGAATGTCTCAGGGACCACGGCTGCCTTTTCAGGGGTTAGCCACACAGCAAAGCAGATGGTGCCTGGGTGATGATCTCTGGAAACGGTATGGATTTGCAATTCAGAAAAGAGGGAGACTAGGAGTCTTTGCATATGTATAAAGAAATCTTTTCCTACAGCTGTACTGGTGTGAATTAGGTTTGGGGCATGCTTAAATTCACTTAGGGGCACAGACTTTTGGGGGGAATATTCCAGAGGTCTTTAGCGATATCCTTCAGCATATAAACAATTTACAGATTATAAATTATTAAACTTCCTTAAAGCAAGTCCCTTAATCATGGATCGCAGGCAACTCTTAGCCTACTTTGAGTTACTAGGTACTTGAAAAAGAAAAGTGGCCTTTTTTTGGGTGTCTATTCAGCAATTCTGGTTTGCTTTTGAAGATAGTGACTTCCCTTTCTGAATTCAGGTTGGAGCAGAACTTCTTTGAGAAGATGGTTTTCAAGTTTAAATTATTGAGACTTAATCTTCCTCCTCTGCCATACCCTTTCCTAAGTGTTTGAGAAACCAGAAGCTACAGCCCAGGCTGACTAGATAGTTGTCCTGGCTTCTGAAGTCTGCTGCCCTACTTGAGTGGGCACTGGCTCCGCATTAGTCCCTCTCTGTCTGCTTGGCCCTAGCTGAGGGCTTGTGAGGTAGGATTTGCCCTCTGATTTCATTACACGGTGGGCAGGGAGACTTCAGTGCAGGTCATGAGGTATGGAGTGTGGGATGCTTAGGGATTAGATCCACACTTCTGGTCCTGGTACATAGGGGAGTCAGTCACCTGTACTGCCCAGGCTGCCTCTAATCCAGTGGTTCTCAACCTTCCTAATGCTGCAACCCTTTAAAAAAGTACCTCATGTTGCGGTGACCCCAACCATAAAATTATTGTCGTTGCTACTTCATAACTGTGATCTTTGCTGCTGTTATGAATCATAATGTAAATATTTTTGTAGATAGAGGGTTGGCAAAAGAGTTGCAACCCAGAGGTTGAGAGCCACTGCTCTAGATCAGTGAAGCTGGGATAGTTGGGAATGGAGCTGGAAAGTGGATTTTCAAAGTCACATAGATGGGAATCAGGTTAGGTTCTTGGTAGACAGAACCAGAAACCCTGACATTTGAAAGCATGGAGCCGGGTTGCTGACATCTAATGTTGGAGTCATGTCAGTGACATGGGGAGGAAAACCAGAAGACTCAAGTTGAATATTGAATCTGCTGAGATTTGGGGCTTGGTATCTTGTCCCGTGGAATCTGCCTTTGAATTTTGACAACATAATTATAATTAACGAGACTTGCAGGGTTGTTTGGGATATTCAGTGAGATACTCAGATCCCCAGGCCACAGCACCTTTTCCAGCCTGGTCCCCGGGAGCTGTCCCCTTTCTCATCCGGCCTGGAAGCTAGGTGCTGACCCTGAGTCCCCAGCTGGCCACTGCTGGGTAAGTCACTCCCTTTGCTGATGCCCACAGCATGCTCACTGGTGCCCGTCTTCTCCCGAGGAGGATGGTATCGACATTTCAAAAACAGTTTAATTATTCTGCGGCTGCCTGGCTATTAGCTGCGACAAGAGAGCTCAGGGCTATTTTTCAGCATTAATTTTCCATTTGAAATGAATTCCTTTTGGTTACACTTTTTAAATGTTTCTTTTAATTAGACGCAATTACTTCAGAAGAATTGCTTTTATTCCTCAGCCTGAGATCCCAGCGATAAAGTCGCTATCTGGCCCCACCGAACGGCCGGGACGGCTCATTTAGTCTCTGCACTAAAGTATATTGAACTAGGAAATTATACAGCGAATCAACTATTAATTCCTTTTATGATCGCTCACTCTAACATCTTGAATGAGATCTTCAGGGGGAAATTTAGTCACAATAGGGATCATTGTTCCCCCCCTTACAGCCCTCGGCCCAGCATGAGGAAGGCTGCCCTGCAGATGGGCAAGTACAGGGGCAGGATGCCATGGGGCTCATGGCTTTCCTGGGGGCTTTGGGTAAGAGGATGGCGCGGGTGAAGCCCCTTGGCTGGTTTGGAGGGAGTCCTGTTCGGCCCCCCAGAAGAAGGAGG